TACAAATCAAACTCCAAGACTGCTAGGACTACACAGAGAAACCCTGTCATGAAAAACAAAAAAGGTGGTTTGGTGGGTGAGGATGCCTCCTACCAAACCTGAGGACATGAGTTCAATGCCCAGGAACTACAGGGAGGAAGGAGAAAATTGATTCCTAAAAGTTATCTTCTAACCACACGTGCCATGGCACACACACATACACACATAATTAAAAATGTTAAAAGGATTGCTCACTACACCCTAGACCAGTGGTTCTCAAATCTGTGGGTGGCAACCACTTTGGGGTCCAACAACTTTTTCACAAGGGTAGCCTAAGACCATCAGAAAAGATATTTACATTATGGTCCATAATATTAGCAAAATCACAGTTACAAAGTAGCAATGAAAATAACTATGGTTGGGGAGTCACCATAACATGAGGAACTATATTAAAGGGTCGCAGCATTAGTAAGGTTGAGATACACTACCCTAGACCATTAGGACTCTAGAAGTCTTGGGTTCTCGAGGAATTTCCCCTTTCAGCATACGTTCCTTATCAAGGTAGCTAGAGTAGTTGTTAATTCTAATCAACCTGTTACCAGTGTCCTAGACCAGTGTGGCACAGAGAATAAGAACAGTAACAGTACAGGGGTTGATGGAGTCCTAAGTGTGAAAATGAGCCTTTCTAGTCCTACCAGTTGCAAGGAGCAAACAGTTCTTGATGGTTGCTATGGATGTTGCTCTGTATGCTGTGAATGTGTTGCTCTGATTGGTTAATCACCTATGATAATCAAACTTATAGTCATGTTAGTTTAGTTTTCCAGGTATACATAGATATATTTCAGATAGATAGGTAATCTTCAAACACTTCAAAGACCTACAGAATATAGCATTTAAAATGTTTTAAAAATTTAGACTTTCTAGACAGTGAGACATGTCTGCTCCTGGCAGCACCGATTTACTTCAGAGAGGAGGATGGGCATTGAAGACACTCTATATATATGGAGTTTATCTTCTTCTTGGCAAAAATAGCCATTTGGGCAAGAAACTGTTCTTGCCTGGACTGCTTGATCGACTGGACATGCAGGACCCATAGGATGGTGACCACTGAACTTTGCTTGGCAAAATGGTCCTTCAGGTTCCTGCTTTGCAGAGGAAACTGCTAGACATTCTACAGGACACAGAGAAATGACTGAGAGACTCTAGGTCTGTGGGCTGAAGACATATGCCCCAACTTTACAAAAGAACATTAGGTGACTGTCCACGCTGCCAGCTGTCTCTGTCTACTCTTCCAAGACTCCCGAAAGTTGCTTGTATCCTTCTCCCATTTCTCAGGTAATATTATATCCTTCTGAGGTCTTTGATGTAGTTGAAGACTAGATAGTTATAATTTCCTTAGTTATGATAAAAGATAAGTTAGATATGAAACCTTAGACTCACAAATATAGGATAGACAGGATATCTTCTTTAATTTTACCAAATACAAATAGACTAGATATTATAAATAGACTAGATATTGTAACTGTAATTCTTGCTTGATAATTGTGTTATATTGTAATTTCACTATGTTAAAGTTAAAACCTTCCTTTTTGAAAGCCAGGCAGTGGTGGTGTACGCCTTTAATTCCAGCATTTGGGAGGCAGAAGCAGGTGGATCTTTGTGAGTTTGAAGCCAGCCTGGTCTACAGTGCAAGATCCAGGAAAGGTGCAAAGCTACACAGAGAAACCCTGTCTCGAAAAAACAAACAAACAAAAAAAACCCTTCCTTTTTGGAAAAAAAAAAAGAAAGAAAAGGGGAAGTGCTGTGAATGTCTCTCTGTATGCTGTGAATGTGTTGCTCTGATTGGTTAATAAATAAAGTGCTGATTGGCCTGTAGCCAGGCAGGAAGTATAGGCAGGACAAAGAGAGAGGAGAATTCTGGGAAGAGGAAGGCTGAATCAGGAGTCGCCAGCCAGACACAGAGGAAGCAAGATGTGAAAGTACCAGTAAGCCACGAGCCACGTGGCAACTTATAGATGAATAGAAATGGGTTAATTTAAAATATAAGAACTAGATAGCAAGAAGCTTGCCATGGCCATACAGTTTATAAGTAATATAAGCCTCTGTGTGTTTACTTGGGTCTGAGTGGCTACAGGAGCTGGGTAGACAAAGGAAAACTCCAGCTATAGATGGTCTTAACTGAAAGTTGTTGAGGGCAAAGACAGTCATCAGATCACTAACTACACACTGACCAGGGGATGCACCAATTTGCTCCAGCAACCAAACCACATCAGGAACAACAGCTGCAATTAGATTATGACCTGACTGACAGATCTAGGCCAGCTAGCAGGAGCAGAGGGGCACATGGAAGGAGCTTGCCAGGCATAGCAGTGTCAATCTGGGTTTACTGTTTGCATGGTGAGAGGACAGTCATTCTGTGGTGGATCTTCCATGTTTTATTTTACATCCCTCCTCTAAAGCACTGCAATTAAGGCCTGAAATACAGCTAATGATACAGCCCTGTGTTTTGGGGTTGTCAGGCTCAAATGAGACTGTGTAAGTTGAAGTACATCGTTGAGGGCAGCAGAGATGCCTCAGAGGTTAAGAGCACTTGATGTTCTTGCAGAGGACCCAGGTTCAGTTCTCAGCACCCGTATCAGGTCACTCACAACCTCCTGTAATTCCAGCTCCAGGGGCTCTGACTTCTGGCCTCTAAGGGCACTCACACTCACATGGCATATACTTGCACACAGACACATACACACATAAATATATTTTAAAGTACATTGTAAGTAGGATATAAGAAACAATGACTATCTCTAATCACCTTCTCTCTTAAATAGAAAAGAGAGAGAGAGAGAGAACTAGAGGGATAGCTCAGTGTTAACAGCACTTGTTCTTTCAGAGGACCAGCATTTAGTTTTCAGCACACATTTCCAGCTCACAATTGCCACCTGGCCTATTGAGAGACAATAGATGCCTCTCATCAAGCTTAATCATGTTTCAAAACCTGAAGTCCCTCCCTCAAGAAGCCTTCCTTTTTCACCTATCTTTCATCTTTTGAGATAGCTTCACCCTATGACCTAGGTTGGACTGGAAATCCCCACGTAGCCCAGGCTGCTCTCAAACTCGTGGCAATCCTCGTGCCTCAGGCTCCTTTCTAAGTGCTGGGGTCACAGGGCTGAGTCACTACACTGGGTAGAGCTTTTCTTGACTGTCAGGTTTTGATCTCATCAGGTTTTCTTTCCGGGCAACTGGTCTAGAAAGCCTTGGGGACAAGAACTGTGTGGGTTAATAACTTTGTGGTACTTAGGATCAAACCCAGGGCTTTGTGCATGCAAAGACAAGCTCTCTACCAACTATATCCTGTTTTGGGGTTAGTATCTTTGTATCCTCCACAAAACAGGTATTTGCCTAATTAATGTTAACAAAAAAATAAAAGAGCCAAGCATGGTGGCACAACCCCAGCACTGGGGAGGCACAGGTGGGTGGATCTTAGTGAATTTGAAGTCAGTCTGGTCTAGATATCGAGTTCCAGCCAGAGTTTAATAGTAAGAGCCTGTCTACAATCAATCAATCAATCAATCAACCAATCAATCAATGTTGAGAACATAGCTTTGTTGGTGGAATGCTTGCCCAGTATGCAGAAAGCCCTGGATCTGACCTCAGTACCACATAAAACCAAGTAAGTGTTCAGCCTATAATCCCAACACTCAGAAGCAGAGGCAGGATGATCAGTTTAAGGTCATCTCTTCTACATAGCCAGTTGGAGGCCTGCCTGGGCTACATAAAATGCTCTAAAAAATAACAACAAACTAAACAACAAAATGTATGACCCCTCCCCTCAAAAAAGCTGGGGGTGGTGGCCCATGCCTTTAATCTCAGCACTCAGGAGCTAGAGGCAAGCAGATCACTGAGTTTTAGGCCAGCCTGGTCTAGAGCTAATTCTAGAACAGCCAGGGCTACACAGAGAAACCCTGTCTCAAAACACACACACACACACACACACACTAGAACAGCCAGGGCTACACAGAGAAACCCTGTCTCAAAACACACACACACACACACACACACACACACACACACACACACACACACACAAGTCTGCCCTTTTGGCCTAATGAATTCACAACTTGGACCTATCAACAAAACAGAAATATATATGTATACACATGCAAATTTTCTTCGCTCTCTTGATAGACTGTAGGAATAGGGGGCATCCTCATTATTCACACAAAAGTCCACCCACCCCCCTGAGGATTTTCCAAAAGAAAAACCCAGCACAAGTAGTCAAGTTAGAGATGCCACCTCCAAGAAAGTGGTAGAACAGGCAAACATGGGGTACATCATCCATCTTACCACAAAGTGTTCTCTTAGGGAACCAGTTGCCATCTTCTAGGAACAGTCAGGACAAGGTGGTTCAAACAGGCCCTGAACTCTGGAAGACCGATGTAAAAAGTGGATTGGGAACTGCCTCTTTCCAAGTTCTTTTATTCTCTGACTCCTCAGACACATGGTTGGCAGAGGAGACCTCTACCTTCCCTTCGACATCTTTGGAAAAGGCCCTCACCAGACCTGGGTTTTCCTCCTTGGAGGAATGGACAGACCCGTCCACCACGAATCTCTCCTCTAGTACTTAAGTCAAGCATTTTCCCCACAGCTCATAGGTGAGGAAGTGACATCTTAATTGTCAAACCACTGCCCCTAAGAGTTCGTGCCTCGGGGCTAGAGAGATGGCTCAGTGGTTGGGAGCATTGGCTGTTCTTCCTGGAGGACCCAGGTTCAATTCCCAGGACCCACATGGCAGTTCACTAGCGTCTGTGATTCCAGTTCCAGAGGGTCTAACATTCTCACACAGATATACATGCCAACAAAACGCCAAAGCACATAAAATAAAAATAATTAAAAAAAAAAGAGTTCCTGCCTAACTTCAGGAGTCATCTTTTCTGCCTGGCCCCCATCCCAGGGGCACTCCCCCAGAATGGTACAGGAAGACTGCAGACCGTTTGAAAACAGAGGCTATAAAGTTTATTAGTTCCTTTCTGTCTCCCCACAGAAACGATCCCATACTGTCATGGCCCAGGGCACTGGCACCTGAGTGAGAAACCAGCTGAGGATTCTGAGGTTATCTGGAGAGAACCGCCCTCCCTTCAGGTACAGCAGCCACTTTGTGTTTCCCAAGGCCTCTCCTTGCTGTCCTCCACACAACACAGCCTCTCTTCTGAAGCCCTCTTGAGCTACAAGGCTGATCCCATCTCCTAGTGCACTGGGACAGGGTTGGAGTTCCTGGGCTCTCTCCCGCTTCTACCAGGCCTGAGGGTCCTCCACACAGTGTCCACCTGTCCCCCAATCCCCACACTCTCTGGTGCTTTATGGAACATCACAGCCCTCCACACTACCAGCAGTCCATAAAACTGGATCCCCTTTGCTTTCAGACCCTCCTGTGGCTTCCTACTGCTCTGAGGAACGTCAGGTGGGCCTTCACCATCTCACTTTGCACCACATCCTGGCCACCATGCCATTCCCTCAGAGGGAGTGGCCCCTCCCCCAAATGCTCTCCCACATCAACCAGCTCTATCTGTTCCATCCAGAAAGCTGTTGATAATTATTCTGGGTAGAACCAGCCTCCCATCTCAAGCATAGGACTTTCCCAAGGTGTCCAGGAGACTACTTACTTCACTGTTTCCCTGTTGGGGAATCCATCTCCTGAGCTAAGGAAATACAATCCTGGGAGACAAGGTCCTGTCAGACATCCTATTTCTTTCATGGGGTTCAGTGTTTTGTGCATAATCCAATGGACCCTTCATAGAAATGTCTAATGGACATGAAATGAGAAGATTATCAGTTTCTAGGAAAGACAAGCATCCTGCTAGGAATGGACTACTTCCCAAAGAGAGCCCTAAATGTTTTCACCAAATATATACTTGGGGCCCCAAGCTGGGTTGAGAATGAATGAACTAAGAGTGTGGGCAGTCATCAAGGTTCTACCCATCAACTGCCTGGAAAAGCAACTCTGCAAACCTTGCTCCCAGAACCATTTGTATTCTCAGGCTTTTCCCAGAAAGTACCACTAGAGATCTGAAAACTGCTCTTCTGCAGCTAGTCAGGACATGCAGAGAGGGGCAGCTCACGGTTTGTAGTTGATATCTTGGGCAGAGGCACCTACTGTTTCTAGCTGTGAGCTTTGGGAACTTCCTCTGTGAAAGACGTCAGGAGTGAGAGGCTCCCAAGGATCAAAATGTCATGTGTGATTTGGGTGCATGCCAAGTTCCTCCTAACTTGGTTCCATTACAAGCTTCATCACTGAATGTCTCCTGCTTCTCTGGGAGGAAGAGAACATCTGGAAAATTATGACAAAAATGAGAGGCAGCCACTGGCATTTGTGTTCTCATTTGTAGTTTCTGGTTTTTGTTTTGCCTTTTAATTTTTTTCCTAGAAAAGAAAAACACAACCAGAGGAATTTATATGACAAACTATCAGTATCAGAATGGCAGGGAAAAGTGAAAGAAAGGCCAGAGGAACAGGAAGCTAGTAAAAGTGGGTTCCAGACCACAAGGAACAGTCCACAGGGTCAAGTCCTCATTCACTTTGGCATGCATGTTTGGTGCCTGGTCTTCTGGCCTGCTCCCTCAGATGTCATGGTAGAGAGCTGGCCACACACTTCAGAAACCTGCCAATGATGAGCTCAGGACTTCACAGAAAGGTAGTCTTAATTTAGCTCCTTGATTTTGTGCTCAGGTATCACCTGGCAGCTTTTCTTGCTTCAGAGAAGGGTCTGGAAGAATGGGAGAGTCATACTGGGGCACACTTTGGCATCACAGCAGGGAGCTCCAAGCAGATGCTTTCTTATGGGCACACTTGGTCTTTATCTGCATGGGCATTTGTCCACATATGCCCCACTCTTTCTGGCCAAAGAATGAGGAGGTGACAGTCTTGTGGTCACAGTTCAGTGACTGTATTGAGTCTCCATTCTTGCTCAAAATGTCTGTTGTTTTAAGGGTGAGAGGAGATTGGAATTCATTTCCTTTTCAGCTAGCATTAGACTCTCACTCCAAAGAAGCTCATAAATGAACTAGAAGAGCTTGCCTATCTGGATCCAAGCTGCAGGCCTCTCAAGTCCCACCTGCCTTATGCCCCAGGTCTCCAGGCAAAACAACAAAATAAACAAACAAACAATAAAACTGGACCCAAGGCAAACAGAATAGCTAGAGTAACAGCCCAGTAGCACACTGCAAGACCAGCATACATTCCAGAGGGGAGAGGGGCATGCAGCAAGCTGTAGCCCCAAGTCACAGGCTAGGGGACACATTGACTCTGAAGGCTACAGCCAGGCCTGCACATCTGACAGGGTCCTGACACCAACCTGATGGGCCTCTGGGTGGAGCACTATTGTGGAAAGTGGAGGGTCCTGCCCTGCTTGGCCCCTGTGCCTGAACTGAGGCCAGGTTACATCTCAGTGCCACAGTTCTGAGGAGCACCACGCTGGCCAGCCAGCCAGGCCATAGTTCTCAGCCCCGCAGGGGCCACGTGGCCCTAGTTCCACAGAAAGGCCCCAGGGAGCCACAGCTGCCTGGAAGAAGGAGTCAGGACAGAAAGCCTGCATTCTGTTAAAGAGACTGGGAGAAGTGACTATAGGCTTAGAGGGAGCTATGGTCCAAAATATTGCAGAGTCTAAGGGATGGGCTCCATTTCTGAACAACAGCAGCCATATCCCTGTTTTAGAAAGAGAGCATGGCTGCTAATGCTTGGTTTTGTTCTGTTTTCCACTTAAAACCACTCACATTAAAAGGCGAAGGGGCTGGGGCACTCAGTCCCCTTCACTGGGGTCCTCGATAGGATCAGTGTCTTGCCTGGTTCTGCTTCCCTGCCTGGCTCCAACCACAGGAAGCCAGGGCAGGGCAGGAGAGCAGCTGTTCTGCTCCCCAACAGCAATTCCTTCTCTCCAGAAAACCAGAACACACTTGAGGAGTGGCCCAGAGACTAAAGTGCAGAGAATCCACAAAGTGGATGGCTGGGCCTAGGGCACTCTAGAAGGAATGAGGGAGTCAGTCCAGATACAGATGTGGCACAAATGCTGGGCCTGACAGAGTGAACCTGCATGGCACAGCCCCTTCCCTCTGTACCCTGCTGGCACCTCTCTCAGGGACTGTCCACTACAGCAGCAACCCAGGAAAGTCCCAGTCCCAAAGACATGGCCCACGGAGGGAGGAAACTTGTCTGACCATCCCTGGTTGGAAGGAGCTAGTGAACAGGAAAGGAGCAGAGGGTTCTGGGAGGGGAAAGAGTGCATTATATAAAATCACCCCAGCTCTGCAGAGCAGGGGCAAATGGACAACCCTAAAGGCAGAGTGTCACCTGGGGAAGGTTTGGTGAAGATGGTCAGGGTCCTACCGGTGAGACCTGTGGGGGAAGTGGCTCTTCTGGGTGTGAGAGGAGCTGTGGCACCGGGGGAAGGGCTGCTGAGGAAGAGAGCCCTGGCTGGCATTAGGGTGTGTAGGCAGGGGGTGGCTGGAACTGGTTGATGACTTCATACTCTGCTGGGTAGGGGTCATTCTCTTCCATCTCAGATAGGAGCTCCAGCGCTTGTTCCTCCTCCTCCGTGGGATAGTGGCGCAGGAGGTTGGCCGCAGTAGCCAGGATTGAGGCTCCGCCAGCCCCTGCCACCAGGTAGAAGCTGACAGCAAAGGTGACATAGACTTGGGAGCCGTGGTACTTCTTATGCTGCTGCTGCTGGGCCAGGATGAGCTCAGAAGCCCAGTAGGAAAAGCCAATGACGGTAGCACACTGTAGGACTGGGAGACAGGGACAGCACACAACAGGGGTCAGCAGTCAGGACGCCTAAGGAATCGATCACAGCCTCTCACCCGGTTCTCAGAGGACCTGCCTGGCCCAGGGCCTAAGAACTTTCTTGGCTCTAAGATTCTTGGCTTAGGACCCATCCTGACTAGACAGGGTCTATCTTAAGAATTATCATTCAACGGTAAGGAACTTGCCTAACATGCACTAGGCCCTGGATTCAATGCCCAGTACCACCCCATGCCCCTCCAAAAAAGGGGAAAAAGAAAAGAAAGAAGGAATTTACAATTAGATAATAAGGCCCCTGGTTGCTTCTGTGTACTGAAAAGAAACATATAAGATCATGCAGTTTTAAAGTTAGGCAGTGGAGGTACACGCCTTTAATCCCAGCACTCAGGAGGCAGAGGCAGGAGGGTCTCTGTGAATTTGAGGCCAGCCTGGGCTACAGAGTGAGTTCCAGGAAAGCCAGGGTTACACAGAGAAATCCTATCTCTGGGAAAAAAAACAAAAACAAAAACAAAAACAAAAACCAAGTCATGCAGTTTTAGAGACTGAGCTGGAACTGAAGTCAATTACTATCGAAAGCCAAACTGACAGCAGCCCAGGCCTGGTGAGGAAAGTGGCTGCATCTAAGCAGAGAAGCAGACTTGGCTGGGAGGTAAACTCAGTGGGGGAAACTGGCCACACACCCCAGTCCAGGTAAGACAGCCCAACTCCTCCATGCTAATAACAGGCCTGGGTTTCTATGCTGTCACTGTCATGTTTGGAGCACCGTGAGATTCCTGTGGAATTCTAACACTCCCTCTAATCCTAGGCAGATGATTCACAAATGGCAGAAGCCAACACTAAAGCACCCCTAAAAGGCTAGAGCACATCACACAGCTCTCCACTGAGAAACAAGCCCGGGTACCAATATGCCGCAGGGCAGGTCCTCTCCCACATGAGCAGAGCCTGGCCTTACCAGTGAGGATGTGAGCGAAGGCATAGCGACGAGTAATCTTCAGAGCTGGGTGCTTGGGCCCAAAGACATCCAAGAGGAATGCAGAGAGACTACACAGGATGCCCAGGAAGCAGAAGGCAGCAATGACCCTCAGGAGCAGCACTGTCTGGGGGTTCATGCAGAAATCTGTGGAGAAAGAATGGAAGCGTCATGCCCAAGAAACACCCTGAGGCAGGCAGTGTACCTACAAGGATCTTGGTTTCCTCCCCCAGTCTCCGGGAGACAGAAGCCCTGGAGGGCACTGTAGGAGCTCCTGCCACCAGCTGCTCTGTAGAGGCAAGCAGGAGTCACCTGTACACTTCAAGTCTTTTTTCCAACAAGACTAGTCTAGGGTGACTGTATATTTCTTCTATATTTCTTTTTGAGACAGGTCTCATGTATCTCAAGCTAACCTCAAACTTGCTGAGTAGGGGTGGAGAATGACGAACTTGTGACCTTCCTGCCTCCACCTCTGGAGGGCTAGAATTACAGGCATGCACCACCACACATAATTTAATGCCACAAACCAGGGCTTCCTGTATGCTAGGTACTCTACAAACTGAGTACCATGCCCAGTGCCCACCCATCCGTCTCTCCCTCCCTCTTTCCCTCTCTTCCATTCACTTTGCTTTTGAGACAGTCTCACTGTGTAGCCCAGGCTGGCTTCAAACTCATAATCCTTCTGCCTCAGCCTCCTGAGTATTGCAATCAGGTATGAGCCACCAGACCTAGCTAGCTTCAAAACATTTTTCAAGATTCTGACAACAAAGCTAGCATATTAAGCTATTTTGCTAAAGGATGCTTTGGGCCAGCAGGGAAAGGCCATTGACTTCTGAGCTGAAACAGCCAGAGAGACCAAGGTCAGAGGTCAATTAAATCCCCTTCTCCACTTACCCACTCATTCCTTCCATTTTCATTCTAAAACAGGCATTGCACTTAGAGACACTGAGCTTAGTGAAGTAAGTTAAGTCAGACACAGAAGGCCAAATATTGTGACTCTGTTCACGAAATGCCGAGAGGTCAGACCACTGGCACAGGGAGTGAGATGGTGGCTGCCAGGAGCTGGAGAAAGGGAGGCCAAGGTGTTAGCTGACTGTGAGTTTTCAGTTTGGGGTCATGAGAAAGCTCTGGGAATGGACAGTGGTGAAGACTAACAATGAGGCAAATATGCCACTCAACAGTGGCTCACCCCTGTCATCCCAGCACTAAGGAGGTGTTGCCAGGGGTTTCAGGAGCTTCAGGAGTTCGAGGCAAGTTTCTGCTACTTAGCAAACCTAAGGCCAGCCTGGGCTTCACCAGAGCCTGTGCCAATCACCACCTCAACTGCACCCCTACAAACAAAGGGGAGAAGACTTCAATTAGGACTAAAGAGCTGACAGGCAAGCCAGCAGCAGAAAAGCTAGAAGTCCCACCACAAGAGCCCTGGAAAGTTCAGCAACGACAGCATGTACATGCTATCAAAATGGGGGAGTAAACCAAGAACAGGAGTGCTAAAACAGGAGAGCAGCATTCAAGGAGTCCCTAGGGTGTCAACCATGCACCAAAACAGAGCAACTTGTATCCTTGCAGTATTGAAATGCCTTCTTCTAAAGATTCCAGTTAAACAATACTGTCAGTCTCCTTTGACAGCTATGGGAACTGGGATGGCTTCCTGAAGCACAGAATGGAATAAAGGCTGATCAAAAAAAAAACCAAAGGCAGGTCATGTTGGTGCCCACCTTTAATTCCAGTACTCAGAAGGAGATTTCTCTGAGTTAGAGGTTAGTCTACATAGTGAGTCCCGGGCCAGCCAGGGGTACCTAGTGAGAACCTGCTTAAAAAACAAACAAACAAATAAATACAAACCAAAAAAGGGCCGGGGGTGTGTGTGTGTGTGGAGGGGGTGGCACACGCCTTTAATCCCAGCACCTGGGAGGCAGAGGCAGGCGGATCTCTGTGAGTTCAAGGCTAGCCTAGTCTACAGAGCTAGTTTCAGGACAGCCAGGGCTACACACACACACACAGCTACACGCACACACACACAAACCTGTCTTGAAAGCAAAAACAAAAAAGTTTAAAGAAGAAAACAAGTCTTCACTTCCTCTCCCTCCTCTTCCTCAGCTATTGCCTCAGCTATTGCTTTCATTTAGGCCATAGGTCACTGAGTGATTTAGGAAAAACTGGATAGAGCTGGTCAAACTCACAGGCTACAGGCTCCTTTCTTAAGCTTTGATGTCAAATTTAGAATCTGAAGGTGACAATCTTCAGTTTCTAGCATACATCCTGATTACCAGGGTGCTGTTGCAATCACGTACCAGGTTCTAGAAGGTCTGGGAGCACAGAAAATCCCCATACAAGTAGTCCAAGTCTCCAGTCCCCAAAAGCACCAGTCCGAGATACCAGAGGAAAGCAGACAGGTGCAGGAAAGACCAAGAAGCTAAGCGGTAGACCCACTGCCAACAAAAAAAGATTCAGTATAGCAGATGCTGACCATGGAATCTTGAGCAGTGGGAAATGCCAAGCATTTTGTGACTGGCATATGTACTCAGTCTCAGACTCAAAGCTCTCCAGGTATATGCTGGCTAAGCCCAGACAAGACTCAGGTGCCTCCATCTGGCTGCCTTCAGAGCTATCTGTCATGATCTTCACCGCAGAGGACCTAGCATCCAGCTTGGGTGATTACCTACTGCCATGGAGCTTGGCTGTCCATGAGTTCTGCCAGAAGCTAGCATCTGCCCTCACTGCATCCAGCACTGCCTACTCCAGACAGCATAGGAATTCTGAAGGGGCCCAGGAACAAAGGCTTGAGGGAGCAAGGGCTGACTCCTGGGTCTGATTTGAACATTACTGAAAACTGAATCAGTTCTTTTTGGGGTCTGCATAGCATGTGGGAATGCTGGAGACTCAAGTGTTCCAGTGCTACCAAGAATGCCTGCCAGAGACAGGGTGGAAGGGCGGATATCACAGGCCACTTTGCAGCAGTTCACCTGCATTACTCTGTGCAGCCAGGCACTGTGTGAAGGGAACATAAGAGGCTTTAAAAACACTGGGCTTTGTTTCTTCTGATGATGGTTGAACATATTACCCTTGAAAATGTGCACCTGATATATCCACACCTATGTGCTTTATGTTTTAAAATACTTTTATTTTAATAAGCAAGATATGCACATGATAAAAAGCTTCAAGAAAGAGGCCCCCCTTCACCTGCCTTTCCCAAAGGCAAACATGGCTGAAGGTACAGGAGCCTGTGCACACAAATGGGTCCAGCATTATCTTTGCCGAGCTTGAGTGCCACCCTGGAAGTCATCACACAGCTCGGATGAGGAGTCAGAAGCTCCAGAAGATTAAGTGACCTCCTCCAGGTCACACAGTGACCCCCAGACACTGCACTGTGCTACCTGGAAACTGCTAAGCACCCACTGGCAGCTTGTATTATTTCCTTGATGGAGAGAATCAATCAAAGTCTACGGAGGTGTACTGAAAAGAAGGGTGAGATGAACTGGTAGGAACGTTGTCCAAGACAGCAGCTGCTGAGTTCATGAAAGCAGCAGCTTGAGACTCAGATTCCAGCGGCGGCGGCGGCAACAGAGGGCAAGAAAGGTGTGGCTCGCTGAGTGACGAGCAGTGTCCACACAGGGACTGAGGACAAAACTGGCTTCAGATGGTGTTTAAACCTGCCCTCTGCAGCACCGAGGGCATCTGAGCACAGTTCTGATCAGGAGTTAGGACACCAGAAAAACTCTATACCTAGTCAAACGCTAGGTCTGCCCCAGGCTCCATTCAATCTTTAGCAAGTCACTAGAGGGCCTGTTTTAAAGGGCCCTGCCTCACCCACCACAGACAGGTGCTAGGAGGGAAAGCAGTTACCTGTTCAGCAGACTGAAGAGTGACTCTGGACAGAGGAAGAGCTTCTGACACCAAATTCAAGCATGTTTTGTTTCTACTACCCTTCTCTACTCCAAAGCTATAGTGCTTAAGGCAGTGGTTCTCAACCTCCCTAACGCTGCGACCCTCTAATGCAGTTCCTCAGGTGCTGACTCCCAACCATAACGTGATTTTCACTGCTGCTTCAGAACTATAATTTTGATAGTGTTCTGAATTGAAATGAAAATAAATATCTGTGTTTTCCAATGGTCTTAGGCAACCCCTGTGACAGGGTCGGTGGACTCCCAAAGGGATTGCAATCCACATGTTGACAGCCACTAGCTTAGGGGAAAGCCAAATGTGAACTTCCCTTTGGGTGGTGCTAACATTTCCAGAGAGGGACAGCAGGGGGCAGTGTCTTAACATAAGGTAAGACAGGAAGACAGCCCGGATCAAGAGCATCTCCTAGGGCCAGAGATCTTAAAGTCTCTGGCTTCCTTTCCTAAATACTATGGCAGAGAGGGCAAATAACACTCCTTTCCCCAAGAGGTCTTCCAGAGACACTAACACCCCAAAGGCTAGGTAGGTAGGAGTGACTTACTGTGGGAGAAAAAGGCCGGGTGGGGCAGGATCTTGACTTTAAATTTGAGCCAGTGGTTGGGTACACTACATTCCAGACAGACAGCATAGCCTATCCTCCCCTCCAGTTGTATTCTGGCCTGTTTATTTTGGTAAACACTGCCTGACTGTCCCTTCCAGTCATCAGGGAAGAAGGCAGCTGCTATGTAATCAGATCCTAAGGAACTGACTTTGACCAAGGTCATTGGTGAGTCACAGGGCTGGATTTGTTTTGAATGCTCTGGCTCTTCCGGTCTACCTGTCTGTGGTTGACCCCCTCTTGACCTTTGTGGGCTGAAGGCAGAAAAACTAAAATGGTTTCAGACCAGCTTCTTGCTGTTCTTCCTTTCCTCCTTCCTCAGTAGGGATCCTGTGGGCTGGAGGAATCCCATTGCCCCAGTCTCTCCAAGAACCTTCTCCTCAACTCTGCACCCCTTCACTGTAACTCCTGGCTTTCAGCCAGACCTGACATAGACCACCAACAGGGTACACTAGTGTCCAGATGGATCATTTTACAGCTATCAATGGTGCCAGTCAAGCCACCCAAGGACAGCCCCCAAGGCCTGGTGGTGGCATCAGCATCTGTCACAACCCATCAGGTGCACAGGCCCTCCACCCTTGGTCCTCCAGTGGCTGTTGTTAATCTTAAGTCACTGACATCAAATCCCAGCTTACTCATTCTCCAAAACTGCTTCCTGAAGCTGGTGGTGGGGCTGCCCTTTGCTGGCCACACTAGAGAGGAAAAGGGCTTTCAGGGTCTCTACTGCAGACACTAAAAGTCTGGGCATTTCTAAGCCTTCTCTGGACCTAAGCCGGGAGAAGCTATGTGAGAGGATTCAGAACAGAATCTGTTGAGCTGGCATTTGCTAAAGCCTTCACGCATCTGGTCATACAGCAAGGGTGAGGGGTTCTGCCTCAGGTTCACCAAGGTGAGCCTGAAACCTGAGAGACAGTGTGGGCATTAAAAAGCACAGCTCTGGCTGAGTCTGTGATAAAAATACAACCAGAGAGGCTTTGGCCTCCCAAATCTCCCTTCTGCTTTGCAAAGGGTCTTTTTTGGTGCCTTGTTGTGTGTGTGTGTGTGTGTGTGTGTGTGTGTGTGTGTGTATGTGTCTGTGTGTGCGCGTGCATTTCCTCACCCCTAATAAAAGCTTACTTTTACTGGTGAGAAACAAAACAACAACAAAAGACTCAATCAGAATAGTAAATGGTAAGTTTCACACAGCTCTAACAGAAAGGAAAGGAAACTCAGGGCACTAAGGAGTGGTGGTAATAAGAGCGTGGACTTCGGAGTCACAACCTGGATCAGCTGGGGCCTTTGTAAATAAGGATCAAATTAAGGCAGATGTGAAGTGTGCTTAGCTCTATGCCTGGTACACAGGCTTGCTTCGGAGTCTTCTGGCCCACCTCACTCTCTCTTCCCTGCAGAGACCTAGCAGGGGTGTTTCCCTCTGCAAGTATCTATAAGCACCATATTTGCCCAGCACATCTCTATTTCCTCCTGGGATTGGACTATTCCAGGCTTCCAGGGTAGATCGCCTGGTAGACCTAGTAATTAGCACAGTCACACAGGATACCATATGCCTGCAGGCCCACAAGGCACCAAAATCACAGGTAGAGAGCAGCAGAAGAGAAGCTACAAGAGACCAGATTCCTTGCCTTCTGCAATGGCTCACAAGGTCCCACTGCCAATGCTTCTATTTATAGATAGGAGCTAAGTGATCCTGGCTTACAATGGCCAAGGGGATGAGCAGAGCAGGCAAACCACACATGGGCTAAGAGATCTAAACACACAGCAAATGCAGTATAAAGGTTAAGACAACAAGTTTGAAAAGGACAAAATTTGGTCTGAATAATTTCTTAGAAAGGGTAAATACATCTGTGAACAAACAGAAACTTGAACCAAGAGCTGATTTTTATTTTAACATGCCTTTGACAGGGATGTACACCAAGACAGGGCATCATGAGATCCTTCTTTACAACAGCCGAAGTAAAACAAAGGATAAACATAATTAAGGAGACAGTACCATTTTATTCTGGCATCAACAGATGGGAGGCAGTACCAGTGATGCCACCTAGCAGGGCAAGCCTGGGGAGCCCGCTTCACTTCCTTCCTAGATCTCTGAAACAAGGATGTAAGATCAGACTGCCTCTCTCTACACCATCTGAATGTTATGACCCTTCTTCCACCCCAGGGATGACCTGCAAAAGACTATCATCATAAACTCTTTCCCACAAGCACCACGGCATCAAACGCAAAAGGCACGAACGAAGGTGAGTGCAAAGAAATGGGAAGGCATCCAGACTCAAACTCCACAGCTTTTGTGGTATCAGGTATATGCTAAGACAACACTGCATACATATCAGGAGGCCTGCATCCAGTGCATAACCTTAGTCGTAAAGGGACAAACTCGGGAAGAGAGGGGATAAAAAAAAAAAAACCCTCAAACCAGAAGCCTCCACCCTGTTCTCTATAAAAATCATCCTGAAGCATTGAATGTGCAAAGAGAAGCAAACTGTTAAAGAGAATTCGCTGTGCGGTGGTGGCGCACGCCTTTAATCCCAGCTCTTGGGAGGCAGAGCCAGGCGGATCTCTGAGTTCGAGGCCAGCCTGGGCTACAGAGTGAGTTCCAGGAAAGGTGCAAAGCTACACAGAGAAACCCTGTCTCAGAGAAAAAGAGAGAGAGAGAGAGAGAACTCAGTAAGCAAGACAACACTAGGTGACAGAATAAGGTTTTTCAGCTTAGACCTACAGCAGTGTTTTTTAATGCAGAGGGGCGCTGATCTTTTTACCAGGGCTTGAGCCCGAGACACCTTGCATATGTCTAACAGGAATGTACCAGAACTAAAGAGGGCAGAGAAGAAACGTGAAGACTTCTGAGACTAGTTCAAAAGACCTGAGGACAACAAGATGGGACCATTTGGGGCCCACTGGCCATTTTTAGATTAAAAAATCAATAAGTACAGTCCTGCTTTCAGAAGGTACAGCCTTTAACCTCACTCCTAGAAACAGAGGAGGAGCTATGAGCTCCTGAGACAGGCGCTCCGCTAAGCTCTGGACTCCTATTTCATCCAGTAAACAGAATAGATATTTTCTTCTGCCTGCTGGTCTGGGAAATCCGTTGATGAATAAAGCAACCATCTCAGTCAGGTATACCTGTAAGGGCATGGAAAGCCAAATTCCAACTGTTGAGTGTGGCAATGGGAACTGACGTCTGATGATCTGGGATGCCACAAGTACCCTCTACTGTAAGTCCAATTATCAAAGAATACTAAAATATCTTTTACAATTGATTGTATTGACAGTTCTGTTTTCTCCATCAATCAAACTGCCCCCAAACAACTTTTCTGCATCTCACAGGTCTGTTAGAAGGGAGTGGTTAATTGTGATACCTAACACCCTATTTCTTCTACCTATAAAATGCCCTTCCTATGGCAGAAACCTAAAATAGCAACATTCTGGATTAGCATGACGGTGAGGATTAAGTGCTTGGTTGAATAACATCAGAATTGATGAGGTGCTAGACCCCCAAACAGAGCCACCTGGTGGGCATGAATACCAAGTATGAACGGGGCTGTTGCCTTTAACAAATGACTGCCTCTGGTTATCTATGCTGGTTATCTATGCCAGTCCCGTGTCCGTGCTACACCGCCCCTCAAGCCGGGAGAGCAGGAGATCAGAAAGCCCTCACCTTTCAGCAGATCCGGGTGCACATAGCCCAGCACGTCCGAGACCCCCAGCTCCTGGCGGGAACAGGTGCCTCCGTGGATGTGCAACCAAGCGGGCTCCGCCAGGGCAGTGCAGAGCGCCGTGATGGACAGGGCGCCAGGCAGGGCCGAAGCCAGGCTCCGTTCCGGCTGCTTGGGCAGAGCGCTGCTTCCCGGGCTCCTCCGCCGGCGCCCTCCCGGCAGCCCTGCGCCTCCAGGGGCATACATGCCCGGGGCCGCCCGCTGTAGCTCTGCGGTCGTTGCTGATGGCCGCCGACCTCAGCGGGGTGCGCAGAGCCTGTCTGTAACCCGGGTGGAGAGCAATGCGATGGGCAGCTGGTCGGGAGCTGTCAGGGTCCGCACCAGAGACTGCGGGGTGGGACCCAGGGCTGAGCACAGACCAAAGGACTGCGGGAACTCGGGGGGCGGGGACCGAGGGCTCTGGATGAGGGGTGCTGGACTAGGGCTCGGAGAGGACAGGGGACTAGGTGGGCTGTGGACATGCCAGGATGTACAGGCGGAGGTACCGGGGGTCAGCTCCTGGCGCGGGGGGCGGAGGAGACTTTAGACTGGGGTTATTGGGCAGAGGGCTGCTGAGGGGCGGAGGATGCGGCTGGGCCGCCGGGATCCGGAACCCGCACTCTGAGGTGCGACCTAAGCCACAGTGACCCTCCCTACTCTAGTCCCTGCTCCTCACCGGTCAGTAGGCCTCAGGGCGGGGATGGCGCCGCTCTGCCCGGTCACGGGCTTCTCAGCTGCCCGGGCCAAGCGATCACAGGCCCCAATCCCGCAACGCCCAGACGGACCCGGGCTGATGCACTTCCGGCTTCCTCCAGCCGCACCCCACCCCCTTCTCCTCCTCCTCCGGCTCACCGCTCTGCCCTCCTTTTGCGTCACTGTGTGCGCGCGCCGCCTGTTCTCGCGCGGGGCATCAGGGGACTGGTAGTTCGGGACAGCCCTGCGAGGCTTCCCGTTGTGGAAGGTGAGGGGGAGTGACTACAAGTCCCAGAAGGCCGTGCGGCCTCAGCAGCGGGCGCTTCAGTTCCCAGGGCGACCCCTGTGGCAGAAGCGGGGCATCTGGCGACCGTGGGGTCCTACCGTGGCCACCGCGTCCTGCACTTTGCTTTCGGCGTCCTCCTTCTCACCCTGAGGCCGCCGCCATGAAGGATGCACTGGTGCTGCAGAGCCGCGTCCCGGCGCACCCGGACTCCCGCTGCTGGTTCCTGGCCTGGAACCCCACAGGGACCCTGCTGGCCTCGTGCGGCGGCGACCGTAAAATCCGCATCTGGGGCACCGAGGGTAAGGCCTGGCTTGGCTTTGTGACCCTGGTGCCAAGGAAGACGCTACTCTTAAAAAGGGTTTGTCGGGGGAAGGAGTGTGCAAGCGTCAGCGGACAGTCTGGGATTGTTGCGGGAACTGGGATATTTGTTGAGGAAGAAAAATGAGAAAAGTCGTCTGAATAGCAATTGGACGGTTTTGAGACCTCTTCCAGAGGAAGTAGTCGCTTGCATCCTTGTAGTGGTGGTTGAGCTTGTCACCCGACGGGGTTCCACTTTCAGTACCAGTTTTTGAATGGCTAGCCTGTTCTCTGCCTGTAGGTGACAGCTGGATTTGCAAGTCTGTCCTTTCTGAAGGCCATCAGCGCACTGTTCGGAAAGTGGCCTGGTCCCCCTGTGGAAATTACCTGGCCTCCGCCAGCTTTGATGCTACTACTTGCATTTGGAAGAAGAACCAGAATGACTTTGAGGTAACCAGGCTGGATGGAAGCAGATTACTTGTCTGCACCCCACAGCTGGGTCAACCTGCCCCTTTGAGGACAGCCTTTACTTAATGTTTATACCATAGACATGGTAGCTGGGTATGGTAGTTCATGACACCAAATCCCAGCAATGGGACACTGAAGCAAGAGGATTGCCACAAGTCCTCTAGGCTGTCTCAGCAACAAGGTTGTGATCTGAGATGTTTTACTGGGACTCTTAGCTGTCATTAATTCGCAATCTTTTTCCCTTCCCAGTGTGTAACCACTCTCGAAGGTCATGAAAACGAGGTCAAGTCAGTAGCTTGGGCCCCATCCGGCAACCTCTTGGCTACCTGCAGCAGAGATAAGAGTGTGTGGGTCTGGGAAGGTGAGTCCAGACGTCTCCAGATACAAGGGAAAACCAGCTCACCGACTTTTCAGCTCTGCTCCTGACAGGGTCAGCTCTTCGCTTCTTTTTTTCTCCCACAGTTGACGAAGAGGATGAGTATGAATGTGTCAGTGTCCTCAACTCTCATACACAGGACGTTAAGCATGTGGTTTGGCACCCAAGCCAGGAGGTAAGAGTCAGAAGGGGTAGGAAAGAACCCTGATATGGAGGCTTGTGCTCGGCCTGCCTGCACTCTCAGCATCACCGTCACTTCCATAGGGATCTTTGGGACTGTCCTGTCCGGACAGTGTTTGATACTAGAACCATGGGTACCTGCTGGGCCATACAGACAAATGCTGGGTCTCCTTTCTCCCTTTCAGCTGTTAGCTTCTGCCAGCTATGATGACACAGTGAAGTTGTACCAGGAAGAAGGGGACGACTGGGTCTGCTGTGCTACCCTTGAAGGTCATGAGTCCACTGTATGGAGCTTGGCCTTTGACCCCAGTGGCCAGCGTCTGGCATCTTGCAGTGATGACCGTACTGTGCGCATTTGGCGCCAGTATCTACCAGGCAATGAACAAGGTGAGGGTCCAGGAGTCAAAGGAGCGTTTTATAGTCTGCAAGATATAGTCTGCCATGAATCACAGATTGGGTTGGTGAGGTCACAGGAGATCTCCAGAGAAGCACTGAAAGAATTGGGGACAGCTTTGTGGAACAAGGCCTTCCAACCAAATTTGAAGATGGCATGTAGGTTTTTTTGGTTTGTTTTTTTGTTTGTTTTGTTTTGGGGTGGGGTTGTTTTTTTTGTTTTTTGTTTTTTTGGTTTTTCGAGACAGGGTTTCTCTGTGTAGCTTTGCGCCTTTCCTGGAACTCACTTGGTAGCCCAGGCTGGCCTCGAACTCAGACATCCGCCTGCCTCTGCCTCATGAGTGCTGGGATTAAAGGCATGCGCCACCACCACCTGGCTGCCATGTAGAATTTTTAACAGGAGACTGTAACACAAGATTCTCAGTTGAAAGCCCAGCAGCAAACCCCCCAACCGAAACAAAAAGAAGCTGCCAAATGGTGGTAGCATAGGCCTTTAATCCCAGTACTCGGGAGGCAGAAGCTGGGAGATCTCTGAGTTCAAGGCCACCGTCTACACAGTGAGTTCCAGGACAGCCAGAGCTACATAGTGAGACCATGACTCAAAAAGAGAGAGAGAGAGAGAGAGAGAGAGAGAGAGAGAGAGAGAGAGAGAGAGAGAGAGAGAGAGAGAACCCAGCAGCATGAGTTGGCTGATGGGAATATCTAAACAATGTGAAGAACAGGATTCCTTGAGGCAAGGCAGAGGATTAGAAGGGAGGAGTGACGTTGGTTGGGTGGCTAGTGAGTGGCCTTAAAAGGCAGATTAACTGGTTAGATGCAGCCTGCAGTGGAATAGGGGTGCTTCCTTCTCAGAATCCTCGGGTGACAACAGTGTGTAGGGCAGATAAGGAGGGTGGGAACACAGTTGGGACAAAGGCTCATTGATTGGCAATGGGATGAGGAAGGGCACTTTAGGAGAGGTGCTCAGGACACAGAATGCCTTGGACTTAAGAAAGTTCTGTCGCACAGGGGTGGCATGCAGTGGCTCTGACCCCACCTGGAAATGTATCTGCACTTTGTCAGGCTTCCACACCAGGACCATTTACGACATTGCTTGGTAAGACCTCAGTCACATTCCTATAGCAGGGATTTTTAGAGATGGCGTGACCTGTGCTGCTCTGCATTTGTTCAGATTAGGCCTGCTATTCTGTCTTACAACTGGCTGGCCTGGGGTTCCAGGAGCAGGAAGATGACTATACCTAAGACTGTTTCTGGGATAAGGTCCCAGGCTTTGAGGGCAGCACCAACCCTTAGGATTTACATAGCATTGGGACATCCTGAGATGATCATAGAATATGTGCATTTGTAACTGTGGACTTTGTGCTTTAGTAACTGATTCTTACAGAAACTAGAAAAGCTGCCCCATTCTTAGAAGAATGGAGGTTAGAGGCCACTCTGGGCCTGAGTCTTGGATCTTAGAAATAATTCCAACCATGAGAAAAAAATCTGTTATATGTCTAAGCTTTATTTATAGCAAATGTCTGGGAATATCTGTGCCATAAATGGGACTCGAATATTGACTTCATGGAGAATTAGCCCCACTCTACCCCTAAGCATTAAGTTTATGGCAGAAATTGAAATTTACTTTTAGCTAAGGAGTTGGCTTTTTGTTTGTTTGGTTGGTTTTTTAGGGATACGCATTTAACAGCTTAAAATTAACCTTACTTGTCTCTGTGAGTCTGAGGCCAGCCTGGACTACAGAATGAGTTCTAGGACAGCCAGGGCTACACAGAGAAACTGTCTGGGGCGAGGGGAGCAATCAAAACAACAAAAAATTTAGACCTGTTTGAAGCTGGAGAAATGGCTCAGCAGTTAAGAAAACTGGCTACTCTTCTAGAGAACCTAGGTTCAATTCTCAGCTCCCACATGGCTGCTCACAACTGTCTGTAATTCTAGTTCCAAGGGATCTGACACCCTTTTTGGCTTCAGTGGGCATTATACACATATGGTACATAGACATACAAATGGGCAAAAATACCTATAAAAGAAAAATAAATCTTACAACAATTAATTTAAAAAAAAAAAAAACTGCCGCATGGTGCTGGCACATACCTGTAATCCCATCACTCAGTAGGTAGAGGCAGGCAGATCTACTCTATAGAGTGAATTCCAGGACAGCCAGAGCTACCCAGAGAAACTCTGTCTTGAAGAGAAAAAAAAAAAACAAAACACTCAAGCAATTGGAATTTTTGCTGTTTTTTTTTTTTTAACTTACTAACAGGCAGTTGAACATTCCAGATTCAAGTTTTATACAGTGATGGGCAATTGGGGAATCTTCAATGTTTATTTTAAAGTAAGTTCTACTAAATTATGATGAAACTTGTTAATGTCAGTGTTAAAAGGAGGTTAAGGATGCAGTGACCTGGGCAGCTGCTTACGCCAAGTGGAGCAAGTGTGATTTGGTCTCATCTGTAGCTGGGCAGCCAGATGGGAACCCCTGAGGCCTGGGAGGGCCTTTGTTGGTGTGATGGCTTAGGAAAGCTTTCCTGTGAAACACTTAGCTGAGGCCTTAGGTTTGGGAAGAAGGTAGGCCTGGGACTCGAACACTGCTCCCTAATCCGACGGGTTGGAGAGGCAGGAGTCATCTGCTTACCCCTGACATGTGTTCCTCCCAGGTGTCAGCTGACAGGGGCCCTGGCTACAGCGTGTGGGGATGATGCCATCCGAGTGTTTGAGGAGGATCCAGGCTCAGATCCACAGCAGCCTACCTTCTCTCTGACAGCTCATCTGCGTCAGGCCCATTCCCAGGACGTCAACTGTGTGGCTTGGAATCCCAAGGAGCCAGGACTCCTGGCCTCTTGTAGTGATGATGGGGAGGTGGCCTTCTGGGAATATCACCAACCTGCAGGCCTCTGAGCTATAGCTTGACTTGGCCAAGACTTTCCTAGTCATCAAGAGGACCTGAAGGATCCTTGATCTTCATTTAGCTTTATGCCTTCTGTTTGGATGTGTAGAAGCCACAGGACCATTCACTGTTTCCCTTCCTTGATGTGAGAGAGCCATGGGACAGAGCCATGGAACAGAGTATGTTGTGTTACAAATTTTGCTTTATTTAGGGCATGGTGTTACATTTTGGGGATAAATAGAGTATTTATAATCACTATGTATATAGGAGAATGTGTTTGAAAGCTTTCTGAAATTATGAACTTTATAGAAATAATCATCTGTGCCCCACTTCCTATTTTATAAATAAGGTCATTTATCATTTATAGTTCCTCTGTTTAAATGGGTCCCTCCTTCCCAATTTTAAGTCCGTGCATTTAAGACCTGCAAGCCAGTTATGGTGTCTTCCTAGCACTCAAGGAAAGACAGGATGATGAGAAGCTCAAGGTTATCCTTGGCTATATAGCAAGTTTCAAACTAGTTTGGGCTATACACGAACCTTTCTCAAAACACAGTGACGTTCAAAGTTTGTCCAGAGTAAAAGAACACCTCTGCTCTTCCTTAGAAACCCTCACACGCCTCTTGAGATGTTATGCTGTGGTGGCAACTGAACTAAAGAGAGAATTGGTTTTCAGTAAAGGGCAGAAAACATTAAGACAATAGCTTGTGGCCCTCTAAAAAAACATCAGCAGGCTGGGTGTGGCGGCACACACCTATAATCCACCACTCAGGAGGCAGAGGCCAACTTGATCTACAAAATGAGTTCTAGGACAGCCAAGTAGACAGAGGTCCTGTCTCAAAAAAAAAAAAAACAAGTAAAAGACTATGGCGTATGTGTGCTGCCAATGTGTGTGGTGTTTTTCAGGGAAAAGAGTACTTGTCTAATAAGCCTTCTAAAGAGTGGTAAGGGCTGTCTCCAAAGCTGGAGGCTTTACTTAATTTTTGACAGTGTACAATTGTGACCTTAGCTTTTTTTGAAAGACAGCAGAAACAGTATCCAGAACAGTAGTGGCTAGAGTGATCTGCAGATCCCTGGGAGTCTTAGGTCCCTTGCAGGGTCAACACCTTACATGATCCAGGAGTGGCACCAGTTAAATAGCCATCAGTCTTCACTGTCTTGTTCCCTCAGTAGGAACGGAGCCAGCTTCTCTTAGACAAGAAAGAGGACTAATTATTATTAAACATTGACCCTTAAGAACACTTCTCATACTGACAAATGAGAAAATTCCATCCAGCCCCTCCACAATGAAGTAAGGTGGTCTTAAGAAAAAGCAGTTGGACATTGTTGCAAGCCAAGTTAGCTATTCATGGCATGCCATCTTTACCAGAACTAGGAAATTACAGTATTTAGGCCTGGCTATTTAGCTGTGTTTCTGAAAAATGAACATATTGAACCTTTCACTAAATGTTCACTGCTTGGTAAATGTTTAAAAGACAGAATTTCTAAAAACTTGTAACAAACTTTAGTGGTAATGAAATTAGCAAATGAGTAGTGAACTGTGCGGATGGATATCTTGAGATTTGTGGAATTTCATGGGTCGTTCTCCAAATGACCCATGTACTGGTGTTACACTGGTCATTTGGAAAATGTTATATTCAGACAGTGACTCTAAGATGGGGTAGTGGGTTTAATAGTCTAAGATGCACGGATGCAGCTGTAGACCCTACATTGCCTCAAGGAAACTTTCACATACAGTTTTGCATAGTAGCGATGGAGAGCCAATTATTTGAAAACTTTTCTCTAAAGTTGACATGCTTCAGTTCACACAACAGATGAGCATCAAAGTGGCTAAAGGTCCTAACTGGTTTCTATGTAAAGGATGTAAAACGATTGCAACACTGTACCATGCTATTCTTCCTCAAGAATTTATTTTTCCTAAAATATGTTAACGAGGTTATTTTGAAATGGACTGCCTTAATTTTTATTATAACAAGTATCAGTGAATATAACCTAGATAATAAAAGCTTTTGAGGCTCTGCTCTTAGTTTTCTGAAGGGGTAAGGGGTCTTGAAATCATCATTTGAAAACTGCTGGCCTAGAAAATCAATCACAGTGATTCATGTTTATTCATGAAGAACAGAAAGCAAACAGTTGAAGTTGTAGGTGTGAGATTGTGGTAAGAGGACATTTTAAGGAGACTAGAGTCATTTCTACCTGGTGCATCTTTTGTTTTATTTTTTGAGACAGGGTTTCTCTGGGTAGCCTTGGCTTTCCTGGAATCAGCTCTGTAGACCAGGCTGGCCTCAAACTCCCATAAGTCTGCCTGCCTCTGCCTCCCAAGGGCTGGGATTAAAGGCGTGTGCCACCATCACCTGGCCCTGCCTAGTGCATCTTAACCATGGAGGGAAGAATTTCAGAACACAGGTCATGAGAAGCCCTACCTGTTGGCCAAGATGGAGTCAGCTCCTACTGCTATGCCGCTAACTTTGCAACACCTATAGAGGAGGCTGAGGTCATTTGCATGACCCAAGAGTTAGCTGTCTGACACTGTTAGTCCTTCATTAGAGGGCAAGTTTGTCCTCCACATACTTGATAGGAAGATTCAGTGCTAAAATGACATTTTTTCTGGCCAGGACCTTTGGTTGAAGAAAATTTAGGACATACAGTTTCTCCAAATTATTTATTAGAATGTATGACTCAAGGAACTACCAAAAAAAAAAAAAAAAAAAAAAAAAAAGGCCTCCAACTACTGTACATAGTTTATGCTTGACGTGACACTTGAAAATACTGGACCCAGAGCTTGAACTGCTTGGTCCAGAGTAGGAAAGTAACTGGGAACAGCAGCAACCTGAACGGCCAGACCTCAGGCTGACAGACCTGGTTTCCAAAACCAGTTCCCCCTGAAATGTCCACATTCCTGTTTCCAGGTTCAATGTCCCCACACACGAGAGAATGCCTCAGACTCAATCTGAATCACTGTCTGTTTCAGCTTCTTTCACATCCACACTGAATTTATACTCCTGGTCACATCCCATGTATGCATCACTCATGAAGTACAGGGTATAGTTGTGGCCACCTGTGGCTGGGGCCACAAAGTCTAGCTTCACCTAAAGAGAACAGGCAGAAATCAGGTTAGTGGAGACCTGGGAGGAGGCGACCCACCTGTCCAACCCCAGGGATAGATGCAGGACTGAGTGCACACACTCACCTTGGCTTTCTGCTGCAGGGTCAGCCTCTTGATGGAGATGAGGCTGTTGGACTTGGCATCTCCAATCACAACCCACCAGCCCTCTTCACGTTTCTACAGGGATCAAAACCGAGAACTTAAGCATAGAAAACTTGATGACTACAATCAACTGTGAGAATGGTTATGAAACAGAGTAACAAAACTCAGATTAAAGCTCTCCACAGTTGCTTCCTGAAACACAACTTGATAGACTTAAGAGTTTTTAGCAGTCTAAACATATCCCCAAAGGACTTACTCTTCAAATAAGTAGCTAGACTAACTTTTCAGTTCTACTTCATTTCCATTACCTAAGGCACCTTTTTTATTTAACGCTTGTCACTGAATCTAAACTGCATTATTAGAGATTTAGCCTTGAGGCATACAAACTTCAAGTTCTTAAGAAACTTAGATGCGAGGCAAGCTAACTGAAAAATCTTAATGTGGAGATGAACCTGCAGCAGAGAGAATACAAAGCAAGCCCGTGGGACCTCTCCTGACATCCTCTCTCTGGAGAAGCCCTCTCTGTTGGCCGCAGTAGAGCCCATATGCCCCAGCGGCACTTTGCTTAGAAACCTGAATAATTTGTCTACAGAAGTACATGAAGTTTATCTAGCATCTGCACCCAACCTTCAGTGCTCCCACATAAAGAAGATGAGACTTTCTTCCTGTTGATTTAAAAACAAATATGCAACTAGAACCTGAGTGAAATATAACTGGAAGACCAAGTAGAAAAGTCCAAGTGTCCTGGAGCCATTTATAGAAACAAAAGTAATCTTAAGAGTCAGAGAGAGATTAACACTGCCTGATGTTTTTTAACAATGACCAGCCACCTAAATTGTTTAAAAACAAAAAAAGAAAAATAATCCATGGTTCTGAGATTAATACTCAGCCTTGTGAGTTCATTACCCCCAGACTCCTCTCCCCTGGTAGGAAATGTATCCTGTCCTAAGACCTAGCTAATGAGCAAGTCTCAAATGGACTTGTGGCAAAGCTAGCTGCTAGGACATACCTGTGGGAAGAGAGGTGCAATAACAGGGCCTGTGACTTCCTCCTCTCGCTCCAGTTGCACCAGCACCACAACTGGCCCGCCACTGGTGAAAGCAAAACAAT